GGGGCTCGGGGGCCGCGCCCGGACCCGGCCCAGGCGCACGAAGGCCGGTCCCCTCGGAGTCGAAGCAAGTATTTTAAAAACGTCAGACGGTGTATTTTTTTTTTAAATATATTTAGTGAATGTTAGTTTCTTTAAAATGAAGACAGAAAATATCCCAAAACACATAAAAACACATTAACAGTGTGCTACTGGCAAATTTCAAGTAATAAACACAATTCTGTACAGAAAATCCTTATGAACAATCTTTAAATAAAGGAAACAGTAGTCTACTTAGAAATACTGCTCCCTCTGAGTCACAGCATCATCATTTCATTTCAGAGAGAAGAAACATGAATTTAAAGGGTACTGACACACTTCTGAATGCTGTGTTTCCAAACTTAACTCTCAAATATTCACATTTTAGAACAAAGAGAACAGTAGTCAAGACGTTTCTACATGAATAAAATTAAGTAATAATGTTAACACATTAAAAAAAGAAAAAAGCTACTCCCACAGCAGTGAGGCTGGTACCTGAGCAACGGCTTTCCCTGTGACAGATATGCACCGCTCGGTGACCTGACTGGTGGTCTCTTCCTACTCCCAGTGTTTTTTCAGAGCTTTTATCAGCTTGTTTTCTCTGAAACAGTTTGTGAAGCAGCGTTAACTGCACTTGCTATTCAGAGCAAAGCAAGTATCAAGTCTCTTCTCTAAATGTATTTAGAAAACTGATTTCAAACCCATGCCATTATTTTATTCTCCTATGCACTATTTCAAAATACTGTCATAGGTCTCTTTTCCCCCCCCAATTCTTAAAGCATAATTTGTAAAAACAGTACAAAGTTCTTATACAGAGTTTCAGTCCTGATCACAATTTACCCAAAGCCCTGAAAAAATAGGGACTTAAACTCCAACAACCCTGAAACTGTAGCAGCAATAAAGTGCCCTACCATATAATTTTTTGGACAGGTCTAACAGGGTATAAATTAGCTAAATTTCTGCTCTTGGAAACTTTCAGGGCCACTAGCACAATCGGGACTAAGACCATAAGTGTCTGTTACATAGACAGCAGTGCCAGGGCGTTGGTCAGCTGCTCGCTTTTTAGGTGCTGCAAATGCTTCTACTCTTATCTAGTGGTTCTGGGAGTTTCAGGAAGTCAAGTTCTTCTGGCTTTTTGTGGATTTCAAGGATGTCTCTGAGCTTCTGTTATCTTTCTGATTAGGAACTGCTTGTCACGACCCTCCTGAAAGACAGAATAGAAAGTATGCTCTAGATGAACAGAAGTAGTAAAGTTACCTATGAACAGGTCAGTTCTTTATTAGAAATAAATAAAAAAGGTGCATCCACCACACTATACTCTAATTAGTGGCTCCCAGCACGCTCTCAACTGCCTGAACAATTTTAACATACTCTTGACTCTGTTTATCTCATGTTAGGTCACATTAATAGTTCTGCATTGAGCTCAGTAAAAGCATCTCACACACCTAAAAACATGCTTCCAAGAAGCCTAACAACAGTGAACAAACAAAAATAGAAAGCAGGCAAGTACTTTCAGAATTCCTAACTGATTTGAGAACCCTTGAAAAAGCAGTAAGGCTTTTGCTTCTAAATTCCTTACTCTTCAAAAATCTCCTCCCAAGAATGTGAGAAGTCTTATTAGTGAGGCCAGGCTCTGACTAGAGGGAAGGGAAATGGGCGCCTGTTTGTGAGAGCTGAGAAGGAAACAGGTGTGGGTTGTGTAATACGGCAGAGGTGACAAGAAGCACAAGATTCAGGTTCTTGTTTGGCAGAAAAAATACCCCATGCAGATGGGTGGATTTAAGCAAAACAACAGATGAAGAACAGGGACACCGCTTTTCAGAGGCATATCTCACGCATGTGTTGCTGATATGATCAGACCTTGCTGCAGTTGCAGCTGATACCCAAGAAAACCAACTAGACTAAGAAATACTACAGTTATGTAATATGTAATTTCTGAAACATTCCTGACTGCCTGTGCAAACATCAAGTATCCAGAAGACTATGAAAACTGTTTTTCCTTGGCATGTCTGATTACTGACACAACGAAGAAAACTTTAGGGGTACAGAAAAGTGGGTCAAATCTTACCATAACCAGTTGTTCCCTCAGCTGCTCAACCACACGTTTGTGTGCTCTAGCCAAGGCAATAAAATAGAACATAATGAGGCTGCAAACAACAAACCAACATTTTATATTAGCACCATGCAAAACAGAATTAGTCAGAAAATGTCTGTTATGGGCTAGAGGAATTGTCAGTTTGTGCATTTGCTTCATATGAGAAGTGGCTGGAGGGAAAACAAAAAAATCAATATATAGCTGGAGTAGGTTTGGCATAGCTCTGCTCAAAAGCATCTAAAGGTATTTGTGATGCCTGCAGCAGGCAGGAACAAAGTGCTAGGGGTCACAGTGGCACAGCCACTTTCAAATGTTACAGGTCATGTTCTGACAGCTCTCTCTAGACTGTCAGTTCCTGCCCTGCTCTAGGTGAATGTATGGCGGGGGTTGCTCCTCAGAAATTAAGTTTAATGTTTCACTGGAGTAACTCTTTGCTCCCATTGGGTTTCTAACTATGCTAAGCAGCCAGCAATCAGTATGGCAGCCATTCCTTATAGCACATACTGCAGATGTAATCTGTAACCCAGATTATCCACAGTGCATTAAATGATAAAGAGCAGTAGCAAGAACTAGAATGGTACAAATGCCTGTATGATCATGTATTTTTTTTTCCAAATAATATGTAGAAAGTAACAGTCATCCTTCACTTCTTACACATGCTTTATAATAAAGTAAAAAAAGAAAAAATGCAAGCCAACAAAGAGGACTTGATATTTCCTGTGTACACAATAAAAGGTTCTGTTCAGAACACATAAACATGTGTTATAGAAGAAAGGATCAGGTGAAGTCTGAAATAAACTACACAGTTTCTCAAGCGTAGAAGTTGTAGAAAGTATCAGGTAACAAGGCTCCAAGAGCTGAAAACAGTCAGGTTAAACTGAAATGCAAAAAGTTCCATTTAAACGTAAGAAAAAAACCCAGTAACTTTTTACTGCAAGCGTGACCAAACACTGGAATAGGTTGCCCAGAGAGGCTGTGGAGTCTCCATCTTCAGAGATCTCCAAAACTGAACATGGCTCCTGAGCACCTGCTCTACTCAACTCTGTTTTGAATAGGAAGGTTGGATTAAATGATCTCTACAGGTGACCTCTAACCTTATAAATTCCATTATTCTGTATTGAATTTTATCTTACAGAATGACTGTTTTGGGGGTTTAGTTTGTTGTTGGTTTGGTTTTTTTTTAAAGTATGGTTTGTTGATAGGATTTGTATTCACAGGGCCTAACAATACTAATTTGCATAATGATTCACAGTTAACGTTTTTAAGAAAGACAAGTGTGGGATATGGGACATGCAAGAGGAAATGGAATAAAGCTCATGAGTGTGAACACACAGGCAACGACATAAGTATCTAAAGATTCACATGGGCTTTGATGCTTTTGGCTGCAGATGGAAAACCTGGTCTAATAGCTGTTTGGTATCAGTGCAGTAGGAAGGAAATGCACCATGCAGCTGCACGACTGAATCAGGTCTCTGCAGTACTCACCAAATGACCACAAAAAAAGGCACCGCAAAAGCTTCTGATGCTATGCCATAAAGGACCTGCCGCAGACCTGTTGGTAACCCGAGTACTGTTTCTGGAACAACTGCCCACGAAGTGTTAAAATTCCTGAAGGGCCCACATGCCTTGGAGGAGGGGATACTGTCAAAGCACCAGAACAGAAAGGAGATGCTACACCAAAATGTAAAGATAAAATAATCCAACATAAGCCCAGCACCATTTTCTTGATGGAGTAAAAGTGTCCTTTACCTTTAAAACTGTAATCTTTGTTTAGATGAACTAAGTTATAATTTGATTTATTACACACTATATATTTTATTTCAATTTATCATTCCAAAGTTGTGTGTCTATTTTTAGAGAACTGATAACCTTAGAACAAATGTCACCTTAGTTGTTAGAAGTTAAAGTTAACTGAAGTTTAACGTAGAAGTTAAATTGTCACTTACTGTGCTATGCTGACTCCTAAAGGAATAAAAGCCAAGATGAGCCCAATCAACAGCACCACCAAGAAGAAAAAATTGGAACTTGATGCTCTAACAGGCCTAGCTGCAGGTTTACATGTGTGTATCAAACTGATCTGAAGAGAGAAAGTGAGCAAGACTGTTACCAGTACATCTACATACATACGTCCAAGTATATTTTCCCCATCAACTGAATTTTCCATTCTCAAACATGCTACCAGCTACCACACAACCATCCTTCCTTTGATATACATGGACTAAAAGGGGCCAAGACAAAAATGCTTTACATTCTGGTATAAGTCAGTGTCTCCTATTTTGAGTAAGAATCTGATCCAGAGGGCCTCATACACTTGCACAGAGGTAACTGACATAGTCCTTTGGTGTATGATCCATGGCACAGCCACACTGTTCTCCCACATCTTCACTGGATATATCCCATCTTGTAATAACTACAGTATTAGTAAGAACTTGAGGCACAGAAGGAGCTGTGTGGTCATAGAGCAAAGCTTCTGATACACAGAAATCACATACTGAACATCCAACCCAGCCTGCATTTTCCATTTTACTTCCAAATCGCTAGCAGCTTGACTAAATTTTGTCCAAGTTCTAAGCTGTGTTGCTAGTAAATACATTAAAAGGTTTTATTAAAAAAAAATTAGTTTAAAAATAATTGAAGTAGCTATTAAATGTTGGCTTGCTTGATTTCAAAGCAAAATTCTACCTTCTCTTAAAGCAAAACACCTACAGAAAATGGAATACCATTACCTCATTTCCAGTACACTGCCTCCTTGGCTGTTTTTAGGGGGTTTTGTTTCTTTTAAATCAACCACATACTTATATTACAAAAATCACAGATGTGCTCAGTTTTGTTCATTTATCACACATCTTCATTACCTTTTTAATGTAAAAGATGATGAAGTACTTTATAGTTGCTATTGCAGGGAGAAGTGGTGAAAAGAAGGTTCCAATCCAGCAGATAGTCTGCCCATAAATGATATCCAGGACATTGTCAGAAATTTCAAATTCCTGCAATCCACACCACTGAACTGGCTTGCAAGAGCAATGAGTAACTAACAACCTAAAACCAAAGAATATCATTAGTTCTAAATTGGAGTTATAGACCCTAGCTGAATTCTAACACATTTGGAACACACAATGTTTAGTATTTAAGCATTAGACAGCATAGCAGAAAAATGTCTGAAGTAAAACCAGACTCAAAAATAAAAACTTACACAGCCATCGGAATAGCAAACAGGTGTTCAAACCACCAAGTATTTTAAAACTGGTAATCTGGTTAGAAATATGGGGAATTAATAACAGAAAAAAGAAAATGCATTTCATATGTCATTTGCAAAAGTATGCTCAAAAGGCAGATACTTACTTTCTAGGAAAGCCCACAAACAGAGTCACAGCAAGAATTGTAATAAAATCAAATATCATCAGTTTATACATTTCTTGCCCAACTTCAGATTCCCAGCACTACAAAAGCAAGACAGGATAAAAAAAGATTAGGAATCTAAGTAACCAGTGAAAAATACATCCATCAATCACTAAAGCAACAAATGTCTCAGTTAACACTGTGAAGTTCAAATTGTACTAACTCCCATTTCTAAATTATTTACGTGTTTCAGAGCTTCCATGCCAAGCTTTTTGTTTGTTTTGGTTGGGTGGGTTTTTTCTTATTGGAGCAAAAGGCAGTAACACAATTGTCTCCAAACTAGCGCTACCTCAAACAATCCTCATGGTAGTCAGAAAGCCTATGCTAAACAATAGTCTGCCACGGGACTAATTCTAATCAGAGTTTTAGACAAACAAAATTTATACATGAGAACTATACTGGTTTGCACTGAGCTGTATGAATCAACACCAGGTATAACATGAATGGCAACCCCAGGTCTGATTCTAAATACCTCTAGACAAGCAAGTCTTATGGAAAACAAATCTGTATTCACAAATTCAGATGATTAAAGACCAAGATAAACCTGCTTACAGGATAGAGTTTGTAATTGTATCCACAGGCCTTACACTTGTCAGTGGCACAGTAGGAGATGTGACTCCACAGTGAGAACAAGAGAACACCGATACCGGCCAACCGCATGAAGACACACCTGGAAGAAAGGCAAAACCCGATTCCAAACCTGCCAAAAAAGAACCATTCTAACACCTGGCTCAATATTCACAGGAGTCCAAGGGAGGCTGGAAACACAGAAGGGTTGTACAGAGCTTTAATGGAATGGCCAGGTAGACAACACACACATTTCCTTCCTTAGTAGTAACAACTTGCTTTTCACCTTCCCGGCTTCAGGCTATAGTCCCTTGTTTCCTTTTTCAGTATTGTTTCTAAATCAGTCATTTCAGATGCAGATCTGGACCCCGCAGAGGGCTGACATTCTCTCAAGTACAGTCTGAGGCCAGGTAACAACTCTGTGTACAGCATTTCCCTCTCAGGTGGCTTCAGGCATTCAGATGCACTTAGTCAAATCAGAAAAACAAAGCACAGGGGCTTGCAGAGTTCAGGTGCTTCAACCCAGATCGTACTGCCTTAAGGTGACAAACACCAGTTCTTCGTGCTCTCAGACTGAAGTATCTTCTAGCCCAAACCTTTTTACTACTGTCTCGAGCAAAGCTGTGCTTCAGTCACTGCTGTACACACACATTTGTTCTTTGAAGGAACTGCTGCATGCAAATCGGTGTGAATCCACAACTCTGCAACCACAACTTCTCTACTGACTATTCACGTTGTTGAAGATGTCCAGATCACACAGCTAAATGAGACTGAGAGAAAAACTTGGACACTGAAATAACTGTACTGTACTGTCATCAAAATAGGAGATTGTTTCCACATTTAAAAATAAAGTTTCCAACTGAGTGCAAGTCAAACAATGCCTGCTTGGCTTCCAGTGGCCAGGCCCTCCACAGCAGAGTCCAACCTCTCTGATCCTTGATATTTCAATGTTTACAATATTTATAACCTGCCAAGAACAAGTTCTTGAAACATCAAAGGCCACAACAAAAACGTCTTTACCTTATGAGCTTCAGCCTGATTTCAAAGGCTGGTGAATAATCTTCAAATCTGATCAGAAATGAGAAAATCTGAGGAGCAATGAAGTTGGCCAATGTGATCACTATGGAAGGCAAATACTGCACTATGAGATTAGACTGGAAGTTCACACTGCTGACATCCTATACAAGAAGAGATGAGAAGAAGATAATACTCAAAGAAACACACCTTCCTGACATTGCACTCCAGCCACCCACCAGCCTCTCCTGCCCAGCATCTTTTACTCTGTCTTAATCCTCCACCTGTATTTGGAACTACAAGCCTGACCACTGCTATCTACCTCCGCAGTTTGCTGCCACACACTCTTGCTTTCTCCTGCTCCTTTCACCAGTAACTCCCTCTGCCTCCAGGTATGAGTATTTCTGCACTTCCCCAAAGCTTCTGTTTGAAGAGGCTCATCTCACCAAGGCTTGCATTTGACTATGTTGTCTAATGCAGCACTAAGGCTACCAGCTTTTACACCTATGTCAAAGTGCAGGCACTTTTTAAGTTATTCTCACTGGTGTCAAGCAGCTTCCCCGACTTTCCTATGATCTTAACAAGCTTCTCTATCTACTCATTTAGGCAAGGTTAAGATACCCTTATACATAAAGCCCACACTGTGTGAAGCTGGTTTTTAAGTTGTTCAGTGTTGTGCTATCCTCCTCCTCTGCCCTCAAACACCTCCAACACAAACACTTCTTTAGACCCCATTTCCTGCTCCTCCCTCTGCAATCCTGGCAGTTTACAGAAGTTAAGAGTTAGGTCCACCGCGAGCACAACTTTCCCCATGCAGAGCCAGTGCCTGTCACATCACCAATGAACAGAGGGGAGAGAAAGACTTTGGTCTCCATTCACATCAGGCTAATTCAACCCTGGGGTCCCACAGAGAAGTCAATTGCTGTTGCAAAACTGTTCAAACCTGTCAGCAAGTTTTTCTGCTTCTGAACCAACCACCATCCTTCCCATCTGCTTGTCCTGCCAGGGGTGAACAACCCTAGCCAACCCAATTCTTTCCAAGACTGATACAAGAACTTTTTCTTCTGCAGAGTGCTCCGTGTTCAGAGCCTTCCTGTTTCCCCACACAGCTGTAACTCAAGCCACAATACAGATCATAATCTTTGCTCTCCCCTTCCCTTGCTGTTCATTTTTGCATCTGAACAGTGAACCAGGTCAAGAAACTGATCACGATGAAGTTAGTTTTAACCAGGTCAGTTCCCTCAGCTAGTTCACTTCCCGGACACACCATTGCTTGTACTAGCAGATCACAATGAGGTGAGAACAATTACACAGGAAGGAAAATGCAGGCTGCTTTTCTTGTCAGCTGCATTAGCTCCAAAGCACACAACACTAAATCCTCTGCAAAGGGAGACATCACTGGGGCTTTTTTTGCACATGGTTCTCATCTTTCTCACTCTCTTCTACTAAAAAAATTCTAGGTCTGTAAAAAACATTTTCAGATCCCTTGTATGAAAGGTGCTATATTAAGATACTTGACTCTTTCACAATAGTTCCTCCTGTTGTAATCACCAGCCCTGACTCATTCTGTCTTAATGTCATGTCTGATACTTACACTGGAGCTTTCTTGAGAGAAGACAGTTGCTCTGTAAATAGAGTAAAAACATCCTGATAGAACTGCAATGACAATTAGATTTAGAAATATTCTCAGAGAGTAGATGCGCAGCTTTTCTTTCATTGTCCTGTCAGCTATTTTTCGCTTCAGTCTTTCTTCCTCCAAGTCTGTCTAGAAACAAAAGAAAAAGGATGTGTAGTTTCTCTGGTGCAGCATACAACACCTGACACCATGTCTTGTACCTCTGGGATGTTGTCCTAGATTCAGCTAAGATAGAGCTTTTTTTTTTTTCCCCTCTTAGTAGTTAGAACAGTGCTGGGTTTTGGATTCAGTATGGGATTTGGTATGAGAAGAATGTTGATAATCCACTGATGTTTTTAGTTGTTGCTAAGAAATCAATGACTTTTCAACTTCCCAGGTCCTGCCAGCACACAGGTAACACCAGAAGCTGGGAGAGAGCACAGCCAAAACAAAGGACTCAAATTGGCCAAAGAATTATTCCATATCATATAACATCATACTCAGCATGTAGATAAGGGTTGATCAGGAAGCTCACTCTCGCTGCCGGGATTGTGGTTTCAGGATTCTCTCCTTCTCGGGGGTCGCTAGCCAGGAGTGGGCTGGGCACTGGTCAGTGGGTGGTGAGCATTCACGCTGTGAATTACTCACTTGTATTTTCTATACTGTCATTATTATTTAATTTTATTTCACTTAAAATGTTTTTCTCTCAAACTATGAGTTTCCCTACTCTTACCCCTCCAATTCTCTCCCCCATTCCCCAGGTGGGGGCTGGTGAGCAAGCAGCTGCACAGTGTCTGGCTGCCAGTCAGGTTTAAACCACGACAGATGTGCAAATCCATAGTCAGCTCTAGGAGGGTCACTCCACTCCCTGCCCAAGCACACTGAAGTGCCTTTTCACTGACACAGACAGGTCCATGCAGGAGCAGAAGCCCCTGTGTGCTCAGTCTCCTTAGGCTGAGGGCCCTGTAGCCAAAGACAAATGTCTCACAATCCTCTTATCCCTGCTATATCAGCAACACACCTCCCCGAGGACAGAAAGCCAGTTTATCATGAGAGACTGATCTCAGATAGCTTGGTACTAAACTCTGAAATGGGTAAATGAGCCTGCTCATCTCCTCACTGCTGCAGGCAAGTAACTAGTCCTCACTGCTATGGCTCAAACTTCTTTGTGAAGGAAAATTGGGGGATGGCACAGAGACAGTCTTGAGCATCTGTCATGCAGACTTTTTATGTCTCACTTCAGCTGATGTAAAATACAGTATCACCTGTGAAAGCAATTTAACCTGGGCAAACCACAGATTAGCCAAGTATTTGCTGAGGATTTATTTGCATCAAACAGTAATATTAAGGGGCAAGTTCTTCTAAGGTGTGAGCTCTAGAAGCAAAAGTGTGGTAAGTGACAGAAGCTCTGGTTATATGCTGAAAAAAGATGACTGAACTTTACTAAAGCAGAAAGCAACTCACTGTAATTTATGAAATAGTTAATTACTGCTTTGTGGTTTGAAGTGTAAGTATCTTTTCAAAGAAAATTGTTTCACTACACAAATCTGCTTCCAGTGTACAGAAAGCAAAAAGAAGGTATTGGTTTCACCAGAAAAGCCTTTCAGACAGCTTTAGGATTTGGGAAATCTATTAGCTGCCTCAGCATTTTGTATGTGCATGTGTCAAAGACACCTAGTGAAAAGCTTTCGGTATCTTCTTACTGCAACAATTCTCTCAAATTGTATGAAGAGTACCATCCGAACTTTATTCCTCCCCAAACTACCACTACCACACTGCAGACTTACAACCCAGTATACTCAAACTGATTCCCAACAGCACAAGGGCTTTGCCTACAGCTGGGATAGCTTTTCCTGTTGGATTATGCAGGCACTAACACAGGAAACCCGACTGGAGCGTGAGAAGAGGCAGATAAAACAAGCAGCTAATAGGCTGGCTTCAGTCTCCAGCGGATGGGGGAAGAGCTGTCAGCCTCCGTGACAATCCCCCTCATGTTGCACAATTCTAGCTACCTAGAAAGCAGGCAAGAGGATGTGGGTTGCCCTGCCCCCAGTATAAACTAAATTTATCCTTCTTACTCTTATTCCATTATCTGCAGAAATATGCATCTCTCCTTTTTAGCCATTTAGAAAAATGAAGGTTACTCACCTGGAGCTCATACTGCAAGCTGCGATGTTTTAGGCGTGCTGCATTGAGATCTGTAATGCAAAAGTCCCAGCCTGCAAAGACTTTGTTACAGTAACTCTGAAACTGATTTTCATCATGCACCAAGTTCTGCTTAAATCCTTCAACAGACCTAGACAAAAATGCCACTTTAATTCATTCATGAAGAGACATATTTTATTCACAGAAAACTAAAGAAGAAAACACACCTCAAGCAACCTGGCTTGTCAAAGACTAAACGACCCCCACTCTGAGCCAACAGCCACATTTGCTTTGTATCAGCAGGTCTCTGGGAAGCTTTCAGTGTGACGGTCTGCAGCAAAGTCAGCTGAAGCCATGACTGTCACAGGTGACATCCCTCTGCACTTAGTCACAGTCATACCTTCTCATCTCAGCCAGGGCTGCCCCCATTCTGCCACCAGCTGGCTCAGGAAACTGAGATTGCCAAAAAAAAAATCCAAACCAACCCACCCAACCAAAACACTCAGAAGAAAATCCTACAACTACTGTATAGTTGAGAGTCTTTTATTTATGTATACCTATGAATAATACTTCAATTTTTTTTTTATTTTGCTGGCTCAGTTTCCCAAACACAGACAAAGGCTACTGTGGCACTGCATCCTCAAGCAAAAGATTCTCCATTTCCCTATTAAACAGTTCTGGAATACAGCATGTTTCCTACAAGCAAGAATGCAATGTAAACTGTGCAACAGGCAGCAGTAAATAAACTATACCAATATCTTTACCTTACTATTATCCAGACAAGACTTAATGCAAGGTAGCCAAATGTAGCCAGCAGATATGCTAGTGGCAAGTTGTACCTCAGGACACCGAGCCATTCAGTATCTACTGTGTAATAGCCATAAAACAAACTTGTCACTTCAAGGAACCCCTGTGAAAACATAAAGTTTAAAGAGAATTTGTAACAGTAGCAGCAACAGCCCAGTGAAATACAACCTGGTATTAAAGCAATCATTTTTTAAATTTAAAACTACTGTTGTGGCCCCCAGCAAGCTACAACAGTCTGTAGCTTCTAAATACTGTCACTGCTTCTACTTAACTAATGCAGACACTATGTGCCTAAAATCCCTCCCCTCTCCAATCAAAGAGCTCTGTGACAAGGAGATTGAGACCCTACACAGAGAGCACAACAGGCAGCGTGCTCCAGAATACGTAACGTTCAGCAGCTGGGGAGGAGAGGCACAGGCTGCGGCACGTGGCCAACTAGGCCTTGTGGACGCTCAGTAAAAGTCAGTGTGAAAACTCCCCCTTCACACAGATAATAAAGACTAATTTTACTCCAGTGATGCATATGTCTTATTTTTCAAAATTACCAAAGCTTCATTCCCCAAGTAAAATGTTTTCATATTTTACATGCTATGCAAGACACAGAAACTTAATTTAAAAAAACCTAATTACTTACAGTGCCACTGAGTAAATCTTTCAGGTAAGTATAGAAGTAAACAAGTCCCTTATTATCACTAGGTACATAAACTGTGCAGTGGGTCTCTGTCAAAAGAAAGGCAGGAAAAGTCACTCAAATGGTAATGCCCATTAAACTGCAAGATCAAGTTAACTCAAACATAGCAAGTTCTTATATTATAAAAGCATTTCTTTGTTCTGGGAGATGGAAGAGAAGCTGATGGAAAGGGAGAATCTTACAAACCAAACAACAGCAGTACATAGAGAAGATATTTACCTATGTTCTTTAGAGGAATTTTAGCAAAGTTGTTGCTGACTATTCCATATTTAGAAAGGATGCTGGGAAGGGTAACAAAACCAAACATCAGGATAAAAATTACAAAATTCAGCCGGACCAGAAAACGCAGGAATAAGAAGTAGGACTGGATGCCAGTACCAAATTTCTCTAGGAATAAAAGAAACGTGTCAATAATTAAGACAATAAAATCACTGAAAATACAGAATGAGATCATCAATTCAGTTACACTGAGTTAACTGATAAAACATTACTAACGCTAGTTTTAACTATTGCAAGCTTTTAGCAACATAACTGAAATGGAAACGTGACTTTTAAATAATTTTCTCCAGTAGATTTCCTTCTCCCCCACGATGGATTTTCTATCAGCAATAATAAAGGAAGCAGGTAACTTCCTAAACATACACAGTTACATCTGAAACTACGCTCACACACAGAAAACTACCAGTAACAGAAACAACTTGAAAGAGAACAAATTGACATCAGACAGTAAATACCTTCTATGCTGTGCATATCATGTCGCCAAAGCTCCAGGTAAGATGACAGCTCCTTGACTTCTTTGAGGATTTTTTTACATGATTTACTGCTAGCTATTTTCCACTGCTTCCATCCAGATGAATGCTTTATATCAGCCTGCTGAATGTCCCTAAGAATCAAGAAATACAGTTACTGAGCACACAAGACTTTTTCACTACATGTAACAGGGCGTAGAACAACAGAACCTGCTTGCAGCCTTCAGAGAGATAGTAGTGCTAACAGTTGGAGTAACACACACTAGCTGTCCCTGTTGCTCCTCCTGATAACTGTGACATCAAATTAATTCAAATATAGCAAGTCCTCTTGCAGAAAACACTCACCTCAAAGAAAAAAAAAATCCAACTGACAATAGTACAACACAGAAAAATATGTAGTTGAACTTCCCAGTGGGATCTCAGGGCAGTTGCTGTTAGTGATTTCATATTTACAAATGGCTGGAGAAAGAAGATTCTTTCCTAAAAAACTTCTGACCAGAGCATCTGCACCAAGAGGTTCTTAAAAAATTTCTCTAAAATATTTAGTTTTCCTCTTTTAATGTTATAAATGCAGCTGTTCAAACCAGAAAATTATTATTTTGTAGAAAATTCACAGATCTCAAAATCAGAATCAAATGTCAAAATATGTTGGAGGAAAAAAAGTAAAAAACATACAGAGAACTAAAAGAGGCTTAAATATTTCATTTGGATTTTATAATTTTAACTTTTATATCACATTCTAGTACATAACAGAAAACAAATGTCATTATTTTTAATTATTAAGGTTTTGTAGCATTTTCAAAAATTCTCTGGCAAGTGCCAACTCAATTTCAGAAGGTATTTGTCAACGTGTGTGAGGGTGCAGTGTTCTAATAATAAGCTACAAACAAACACCGACCACGTGCCACAAACTGTCTAGAATTTTTAATCGCTTCTCACATATATTCTCATACTATATACACACATTTGCATTTTAAAAATTAATGTGTGGTCAGTGACAGCATCAAGGCAAATTCTTAGTCGCTCAAAATTTGCATTTTGTTTTTTCTTTTAAGAAACCTCAAAACCAGCCCAAACTTCCCAGAGACATAGCTTGAAGACTGTCATATATGCAGTGAACCCTGTTCCAGTCTCTGGGCAGCAGTTAAGCACTCATGAGATCACCGTGCTAAAGACAAAGGTTTCAATTTTAAAAGACTTTGTACACAACCCTACTTGACTCACTGCTGCCCCATGCCACTGCCATGTGTACTGTATGTTGATGTTCCCACATCCTTCTCAGCTGAAAGTAAAATTAGAATTAAACCCTATATGCAACAGTCAAAAAGGCAAGAGATAGGTCATCTTTAAGTGCAAATACAGCTATTCTCAAAAGATTTCATTTTATGGAAACTACAGGTTGCAGCATGTAGTGTTTGTTAAACAAGAACTTTGGAGAACTATCTGGCATGTTTGGTCTGCATTTTAAGTAAAGGCGTGGGCTGCACATTCATCTGTGTTACAGAAGTTGAGTGTTCAGCTTTCAGGACATTTATATCAAGTGTTTTGTGTTGGCAGCTGCTCACAATACACACAGATTGAGTGCCAAGAAGCCCCACCAGAATCTCTCAGTGCTAAAATGTGTAAACAAGCTTAGGACATCCCAACTCCATTCCTAACACACACCATGGCCACAGGACTGCAGCAACTTTTTCTTGAAGAACCCAGCTTTAAGATACCCCAACTTCAAATAAAAATTCAACATATTGAGCACCTTCCTTTACCATAACCTAGGTCTTCTGCTGTTCTTTCTCTAAAGGATGTAAGGTTAAACTCAACTCCAGGGTCAGGCTGTAATCCATTTCTCACTGCTCTTGCAAGCGAGTAACTTGCTCTCTGTAGAGCAGCAGACATTAATTGTACTTTCACCTCTCTCCTGATTCATAACCACAACTACAAAGTACCCGATTTAAAGGTGCAGCTGTTCCCTGACAAGGTAAGATCACATACTGTACCATCCCTCCTCAAGGGAGCTTTTAGCCTAGCAGTAAGACATGAGTCAACAAGCAGAGAAATACAAGCAGGGCAAAGCATGCTCTTTGCAATCCCCTCCCTGCTGAGAGTTACCATCAGAGGGGCAGGAACTGCTTACGGCTCACAGCAGAGAGCAATTTAAAAAGAGATATGAGTGGAAGAAAAAAAAAAAAAAGAAGAAATGGCCCTGGAAAGCTTTTTTCAACCGTATTGAGCCACACTAGAGAGAGCACAATGTGTTTTGGAAGAACTGCTGAGAAGACTCAGGAACAGCAGCACTCGCACAGCAGAAGGGGGTTGCCGATGACAGGTAACCCGCAGCGACCTTCAAAAGCATAAAAACCCAAGGCAGGGAAAAAAAAAAAAAAAGCAATCCAGTAAGAAACGCGTTTGGCTGCTACAGGTAATTCCCAGTTTTGACTCATTTTTTCCAATTCAATCTATTCCTGCCCCCAGTCAGCTACTGCCTCACGCCGCACCCAGCCAGGAGCGCCCAGCCGTGCCCCTGCAGCTGGGGGTGCCGCAGGGAACCCGCCACGTTTTGGCAGTTCCTGGGCAGCTGCTCAGAGTGAGATGTCACAGGGTGAGCCCAATTCCGCTTCAGCCTTCCATCGCACCTTTGCTGTCTTGGAAAAGGTAACTTTAAAAATCCCCGAAACGTGTGAAGACTCACCTTAATCTCCTCTTCTCCGCCATACACCGGGGGTGTTCTCTGGCAGGGAGCTCCGCCGGCCCGGCTCCCTCCGGCTCCAGCCCCCAGGCCTCCACAGCGCCCTGGGGGGCCGCCCGCCGCTCCTGGCGGCGCCTCCGCGCCGACTGGTAGCTGGGCAGCTCCTGCAGGAAGCCCACAGGTGCGGCGCCGCGCGTCTCCTCGGGCAGGAACATCCCTGCGGCTGTCTCTTA